TCTGGTAATAAAATAAAACGATTCCAATTTCTACTTTATAACCGGCTGTTTTTATTGCTTGATTTCGTACTTTTAAAGATAACGAATTATCAGTTTAGTCTTTAGATATTAGTCTTTGCAACTTTCCCATCGAGCCATTACAAGCTATTTCAAAACTATTTTCGGAAATAAAGGGAGGACGATCAGTAATTGCAGAAACAGATTTTGTCCTGAGTCGGGTAGAGATGGCATGAGAAGTAAATGAGGTGACTAGAACCAAATATTAGGAGCCATTTCTCTGATACCAGAAACTCTCAAAGTTTTCAATAACTAAACTTGCTTTATCGATTGAAAATATTCTCTCTCACGAGATTATCGTAGATCTTGAATGTACATGGTTTTCCCTTCAAATATATCAAATCTTATAAACTTGATCATTTGATTTTCTTTATTTAACCTTATTACTGCCATTTCCAAAGCTAAACCCAAAATATCTTTAGTAATATAGAAGCAGCCCACTTTGACCCATTTCTCTAGCACAGCATATTAAGGAGAAAGAGAAAGAGAAAGAGAAAAAAGAAAGAGAAGGAGAAGAGACGATGAAGAAAAGAAAGAGGATAAAAAAGAAAGAGAAGAGGAAAGACAATGAAGTGGGCTAGAGATTGCCGTGATCTTAAGTGTGCTAGAGATAGCTAATATTTTAAATATGCAGAGGTTAGGTTTGGTATCAAACGTATCATGCGCTAACAATTAGTGCAAGCTATCAGCAAAAAACAAAGGAACTGCTTACAGTTGAACTAAACTTTCAAAAATAAAGATTTTTTCATAAAACTCATTTTACTGATGTATCTTATGATGGACAACCAGGAAATGCACTCAAAGAAGTGAGAAATGAAATTTACAGTTTTCTGTAAAACAGATCAAGGTCAATTTTTAGTTAAACCTTTTGCATTCTGAGGCCGATAAAGTTAGAAAGCTAAAACTTATCATTTTTCAATAAAAACTGTTAGTGCAAATCAATGACCGAACACTTTTCAGTTTATTCCTCTATTCCTACCTCGTGAACTAACGGACAGTCAGCGTCAACTTCGAGATGTTTCGTGTCGTGCTAACCTGAGATGTCGATCCCAGACCAAAAGCTTACTCCAGCGGACCCTGACCATGGACGAAACTTGAGTCAAACTTTATATGAAGCCAAGCGCGCTATGGGTAGCTAGATACGAGGTAAGGGAAACAGTGCCTATTGAATATTTGCATGGGGATAAGCGCATGCTAATCATGTGTGTAATCATGTCAATCGTGTTAGTTTTTACAAAGAAATAAATGAAACTTTTTTTAATGAAAATAAATAAACTTTTTAATGAAAAAAATGAAAATGAAATTTATACAAACTCAGAGGCCTCGGCTTGAGTCTCTAAGCTCGATTTCTCGTACTCGAGACTCGACCCAACGAGTATATCTCGCCTGAAATACTTAAGGAAGGAAACCGAAGGCAACTTCACAGCGCAAATCAATGTAAGTTATGGGCTGGTCGTTTTCGGCCAGTTCATTCCTCATCTCCTCGACCTCAGCTCTTAGCTCCTGGTTTTTGTTTTGGAGTTGCTGGTTTTGCGCCAGCAGGCTCTGGCTTCGCGCCAGTAAACGCTCTACCTTCGCCTCCTGGTCATCAAACGAGCGTATTTTCTCGATCGCCAGCTCGAGAGTACGGCGGATAAAGGAGGGGACAGCAATCAGGGCTGACTCAAGGTGAGTCAGTACCCTTCTAATCTGGATCGTTAAAGGTAATGATTGACTGAAAAGAGAAAAAAGGTTATTAAAAGGTCAAAAGTGAATTAAATTAAGAAAGTACTTACCCTCGAGTTGGCATGATTAATATGCCTATACTTGAACCAAACATAGGACTGCAATATTTTGAATTAAAGGGCAGATTTTGAATATTTGATATGTTGGATCGATCATTGACATTCAATTATTGAATATCTGAAAAATCGTCTGGAAATAAAAATAAGGCGAGCAAACATTTTTATGTTAATTTGCTTTTCTATGATAATATTAACTTGTTTGACTTGAATTAACTAGCCGAAAAAGACAGGTTCATTACGTACATCGACCATCGATGTGAGCGCGCCTTCGGCTTGCCTCCAGAGGTCTTCCAGGAGCGGTACCTTGATTGGTACTCAGTTCGCGAACTCGAACTGAGAGACTCCAGCCACGGCCTCTAATTTGTATTTTTTCATTTTTATTTTTCATTCAATTAAAAAGTTATTTCTTACTTACCGATTGAATCGTGATCATCGGCTGCTTACACCGCCTCATTGAATTTTGGATTGATCTTTGGGTGTCCAAAGCAGCTATTTCTTTCAAATCTTATGAGTCAAGCTATTATTATAGAGTCCTAAAGTTTTTCAGTATAATGAAACATATTAATATGTATTTGAATTTAACAAAGTATTGAAGTTAAAATTAAGTGAAAAAATAGTAAGAGCGGATGAAAATGGTCCACTATAAATGGTTATCTCCAAAAAATAAAGAATTTTCGATTATATACTTGTTAAATTTAAATAAATATGAGCCACTTTATTGATAAACTTTAAGGTCCATACCTTAGTAAATACAATGTAATATGTGCTTAATCATCTATTTCTTTACCTATAATAATTAATCAAAATTAGCGAGCGAATCATGAAGCAAATTCTTTTGAAACCGAATTTCATAAGAACTTATCAATTTTAGGAAAGAATGCAAAACCGATTGTTTAGACCAATTCGTTGTTTCTAGATAACTTGATATCTTGGATACTTTGTGATACGTGTATAAAAAGAGGTTAATCAATGGTTTTTAATACTTTATTTTCATTTCCAACTTGCGAATCAGTTTAACTTTTGACTCAGTTCAGTTCAACTCAGACCAACGAAATGCGATTCTTAATAATCTTGTCTCTCGCTTTATGCATTGGTAAGTTAATACATTTGTATAACCTAATAAACCCAATCCTCAACTCTAATTGAACAAAAATTATCATCCAATTTGTCAGGTTTTGCTTATGCAGCCAGCGTTAACCGATCAAAGCGTGATATCCTAGCGTGATAATGATGACATGGAAAGTAAGTCCAATTTATATTAATATATACCGATGAAGAGGCAACCTTTCAGATACTAACAATTCTGGTTTACTACAGAAATCATCAAAGATATAAAAAAGAAAGGTATTGACCATGTTGGTGGCGACATCAAAAAATTTGCTCATACCTTCAAGGGTAAGTAATAACAATTAGCTATCATAAAAGGTGTTTACTAACTTTTGGATTACTCAACAGATCAAATAAAGTCATGGCATTGTCCAAACGTCTTTGAAATAATTAAAGCAATGGCTAGCAAAAAACGTGATAGAATTGCTAAAGTCTTGTTCGAAGCTGCTGTTTGTAAAGCAGTGAAATTTGCTTAACCTTTTCTGCTCAACCTTAAGATTCACCCAACTAAAGACTAATATATTATTCAAAATATATTTCAATTCTTGTGCAACCCATTTGAAAAGTTTATCCTTAAAATTCCATGAATAAAATCAAGATAATTGAATAAACAAGCGAACTTCACGATCATAAATGATCCAAATTATTTTTGCGAACAAGATGTGGGTACAATAAATCTAATCAACATTTGAAAGATTATTTATTGAAAAAAACCGTTAAAAGACAAAACATTTAAACAACGTGAACTTGATCTGCAACAGAACAAAAACAATATTGAACATTATTTTGCGGCAAAAATGACGGATCGTAAAGTTCTTTTAACTGCGTAAGATACAATCAATTTATTATACATCAAGAAGCCCTGAATTATTGATGAAAAAACTATTATCAGAATGAGAAATCAAAAAGTTGAAATCTTCAGCTTTTGTAAAATAAGATTCATTTTGGAATGTTAAAACGTTTCTTTAAGCAACATTAAAATTTTCGTTCGAGCTAGGTTGGATGATTGTACGGGCATAAAATTGAATCCATTCGAACAAAAATGCTATTAGAAAAGGTCTCTCTGCATTTTTCTCTCAACCTCTATTCCATAAAGCTCTCATGAATTTGAATTCTGAGGTGCGGTTTTCGATTTTTGGTGCATGTGGTTTGATTTTTTTCTTACAACCCGTCCAGTTTGGTCAAAATTTTGAAACAAACATATTTAATATGTAATCTATAATTTACATCTGAAACAGTCGTTAATTATTTCCAATCATCTATTAATAATTTATTTGATATTCAATTGATTGAATTTGCACAAGCATTTTTAGTGCTCTATTTTCATTAACTTTCTTATTAACTTTGCCATTCTTGACTCAATTTCTGGCCTGAAGTGTCTTATGAAACCTGTAAGAAAAACAAATTTAGCACCGAATAATAAGCCAAACATGATTCAATATAAATTGATGTACCTGAACTGGCCATGCAAAGGCTTGCATAGGCAGAATTTATCAAAATTGTATTCTTCGAATCATGTCACCTAATTTTGGTTCATACCTGATAAACGTGATAACTGTTTAAACAAAATGAAAGACAATTGACTTGTTTTATTTCATCATGATTGAATCTTTCTGTTTATTCAGTAATAATCGAAGTAATCAAAAGGTTCAATCATTTAATCAAGGTTTAATTAGTTTAATCAGTAAAGTCAGAGTTAATTTGAACATAATACATATTCAAGGATGAAGTAAGAATAATAGAGGAGAATCGAGTGAATTGTCAATTTTTCTGTTGTTAACAGGTTCGATTAATGCAAAATTAATGTTCAATTCATTTATCTAATCCATTTTCGAAATATTGTTTGCTTCTCGAGATAAGCGTATCTGTGAGAATGTATCTGGAAATAGATTGAAATGCATGGTGTCGTGTGTATCGATTTAATGATTAAAGCTATCATGACAAAGTAAATTTAAGGTGACATTGAAGTTTGAAAATCTGATACAATGATCTATTTTCATCTGCCACTCCTCAAAACTGGCCAATTTCTCGATAAATCATCAAGCAGATACAACTTTATTGTTTCTCTAAAAATTGTGACGCATACAATTTCATCTTTGTTACTATGGAACAATATAATTAATATTATACATGATCATTCATTAATTAAACATTTCGCGATTTTTTCTTAATTCGCGGGTTAAGCACTGTAGGGTTTGACTTGAAAGGTGCCTAAAAACCCAACTGAATCACATAAAAGCTGAATGATACGACTTGCCAACGAACTTATTACACGCTTAAGCCAAACTAATGACTGAATCAGCTTTAAACATTTAAAAATTAATGCTTTCTGTTGATTGATCAATGTTTTTCTATCAATTATCATCTATTTACCAGAAAAATGGTTAAAAAGGGAAGTGAGTATGTTAATTTGCCTTTCTGATAATAATTTGATGTTTGATATTAATTAATGAATCTCATCAAATCTGATCAAGATTATGAATTCACAGAAAAGGCTAAAATACGTATGAATTTGAGAGGGAGAAGAGTGACGATATTCACTGGAAATGGAGAGTATAAAAGCTATTCCATAACTGCAACACTTTACTAGTTTAATTTCAAATCTGTTTGCTACATAATTCTCATTACATAGCATTTCAATTTTCCTCTAAAATGTATCTGAAAACCCATATTTTTATTCTGGTATCGATCTTTATGGTCAGCCTAATCACGCCTTCTACTGGTTCTGATGGTAATCAAAATTGTATCAACTGTGTTGGTTGTACAAACTGTGCAAACTGCATAAATTGTACGAATTGCCATAATTGTGCCAATTGTAACGATTGTACGAACTGTAAAGATTGTAGGAACTGTGACGATTGCAGAGACTGTTCAAGATGTGCCGATTGTACAAAATGTGAAGGCTGTGACGATACAGTAGGTAGTAAAAAATGTAGAGATTGTTCTGACTGTTCAAATTGTCGAGATTGTATCAATTGTTCAAGATGTAGAAACTGTGAAAGTTGTGCCGATTGTCAAAGATGTGCCAACTGTGCCAATTGTCTTAGATGTTCAGATTGTAGAGATTGTACCCGATGTACAGATAGTCAAAGATGTGCCGATCGTACAGATTGTAAAAATTGTCAATGTTGAATTCCGGTATCGATACAAACTGTTTGGACCCTAAAAAGGTTTGTAATTTAAAAGCAGTTCCTGGTGCGACCAGAGAAATGACAACTCTTCTTATGTGCTTTTTCTCATCTTCCAGATATGGAATTGACCGTTCAACAAATGTGCAAGGCGAGGAAGTTGAAAAGATTTACGTATTGGCCGATGTTATGTTAATCAATGTCTGCTAGTCCTTTGACCCTTTCGATTGATATTGGATGATCCATATTTTTATTTACCGTATGTTAATCAACCATCCCTTCCGAAAAACAGTTAGATTTTACTTTCATTTTTTAAACCGAATCTTTGTTATTCCACTTTCTAAAAATGATATTTAACGCTAATTATAATCAAAACCTTCAATGTATTTTTATCACGCCAATGATAGAGAAAAAAATAAAACGATTCCTTAGTAACCGACTATCATTTTAAATGTTATTTTGTTTAATATTTTCAATTTATCAATATCATCTCATTTAGGACAAAATTCGGTTTTTCTGGAAAAATTAAAAAGGCTCAGCTGGGAAAGGAGGCTTCAGTCTTGGTTTGCTTTGTTTCCTTCAATTTACCTGATTTTTTATTCCATCAATCATTCAATGATACCTTTTGAGGATTTATGGTGCTGCATTAGCATTTGTTGATAAACATGGAGCTAATATTTTGTGTAAATGTTTACAAAAATTTAGTCATATCACTTTTAACTAATAATTTAGATTAATTGAAAGATAAATTGTCACCAAAGGAGTCAAAGGGGAGTAATGCGAAGCTAATTATATAGTAAAACCAGGCCAATATCGAGAGATAATCACAGTTCTTAAATTGATTGCTGATGTTGCTTAGATTTACATTCAATTCAACTAATAGCTAACAATGTTGCTGATGTCGAAAATTGTCATTTTCATTGTTCTGGATATTATTTAGTATCCGAGATAAACAGATTGTAATTGAGAATGAGTCTAGAAAAAACCATTGTAATGAGTGAGGTCGTTTGTACTGATTTAAGTGATTGACACCATTGTGATAAAGTGAATTTAAGGTGACATTGAAGCTGGAAAATCTGCTAGAATAATTTACTTTCATCTGCCACTTTTATCTCACGTTTTTCAGAGATGATGCAAAGTTTTTTTGTTATTCAAACAACGAATTAATTGATTCATTGTTTTTAATCAACCAGTGGTCATCTATTGAAAAAATCATCTGAAAAGGGTGATATGAGAATGTTAAATTTTGCCAAAATTGCAACGATTGCACGGATTGTAATCACTGTCAATGCTAAACTCCGCTATGGATACAAATTGTTGGATCCTAAAGAGATTTATAATTTAAAACCAACAGAAAGTTCGTGGTGCGAATGACAACTCTTCTTCTTATTTTCCAGATATGGAATTGCCTTTCCAACAAATGTTCAAGCCGAGCAAGTTAAAAGGCTTGACCAATGGTATGTTCATCATTGCCTCCTAGTCTTTTGACGCTTTGGTTTCTATTGACACCATATTCCCCACTCACCGTAAGGTGATTAACCATCCTTTTCAATAAACCAATTTTTTAAATTTTACATTGACTGTTTTCCAAATAAATTTTAATTTTCCACTTTCGAAGTCAGTGCAGTAGGTGAAAATAAAAAAAGCGAGAAACATCGATTTATTTTTTCATTCAATATTAGAGCTAAATTCGAAGAATATAGCTTAATAGCAAATGGAAAGTGAAAGAAAAAGTTTAGTCTTCATAATGATTTGTCTTTTAATTTTGTTAACAATTATTATCCTTTGTAAAACGTTTGTTGTAGAAAATATTCTGGAGAATAATTTGAAATTAGCTCGATGAAAATCAAAAGTTTTTATTATCAGTTTACAAATTGTATGCGAACAATTCTTTCAATACTTGCGATACATAAAGGACATCTACTAACATTGACAGCGCGAGTAAAACATGCAACAGCATGTTCACATGGTGAAAACAGTACCAACTTCTAGTTCCAAACAAACCTTGCATGTATATCGTTCCAATTCTTCACTGGGATGGGGTTGTTGACTCAAAGGTCTAGGTATGGTAGGAATGAGGAACAACATCTTCACGTTCAATGAGATTTTTCATATCAAATCTGCTGTTGATTCTGCCCTTCTGAATTTGCGTAATTTCTCTGAGAAGATCAAAAAACTCAAGTCAGAAAATGATGAGCTGTTACGAAAAAATGCAAGCCTCAATGCAGCCATACAAACACTGATCGAAGAGCAGAATATGGAACTTGAGAAAAATGTTTCAAAACTTTTTGAACAATGAGTAGTTTCCTCGATTTTTACTTTCATCATTATTTCCTTCTTTTTCCTTATGCACCTAATCTTATACTTTTACTAATAAATTTACATCATTATTTCAAATCATTGCATTAACCTCAATTTAGGCGCATATCTTCAACAAAAAACGGCTCCAATAACTTTTTTATTGATCTGTCATCGATCAACTAAATTAAGGTCATGAAGTTTTGGGAGAGTTAAAAAAATACCATTCCGAAAATAGTGTGATTTATGAATAATTCAATTATGCATTTGTATGTACAATGTTAAATTGATGATGATGAGATTCAACGAATCTAATTAGTTTTTGGATAATGTTAATGAACGTTAGGTGTGTGGTATTAAAATATATATTAAATTGAACATTAAATCAAATTTAAGAACGGAGTGTAACGCACCCAAGTAAATATGTTAAATCTTAAGGGAAGGTTACACAGGAAAGGGTGGGAATGGAAAGTATAAAAAAGAAGAAAAAATCCGTTCTTGTTCCGTTACATTTCAGTTTAACCCTTTGGTACACTTGTTTGTCCTCCAACGTAATTTTGTTTAACCAACGTAACAACTGTTTCAACTCACACCAACGCTATTTTCAAGTTTATTTTAAAAATATTGTCATTCTATTATTTATATTAACTATACCAGGATCTACCGTTCAACAAAAGTAAAAGTAAGTTCCTCAATTGTAATTAAGGTGAAGGTGATGGTGACAACACTAAATTTAATGGTGAAGAAGATGATTGTGATGAGCTAACTGAAGGTGATTTTATTGCATTTGATGAATTTACTTCTTTATTATCAACCTCAATACCATTGCTCTTGACTTCTCTATTAGTTGATTGGTTATTCTTGTTGTTATGAGACTGTGAATTAGATGTTTTGGTGATTTTCGGTGACGTTTATCACCTTGACCTGAATGTTTTACCTTTTGCTTTTGATTATTCATTAAACGAATTATTGATGTCGATGTGGAAGATGATGTTGATGTAGTTGTGGGATAAAAGGATGAAGATACAACGTTTGTTGAAGTTGGGGTTGATGTTGATGTACATGAGTTTGAAGCCGATGTTGATATTGTTGATGATTGAGATGAACTAACTGAAGTTGAAGTCGATGTTAATTTAGGTGAAGGCGATAATGATGAAGTAGACGGTAATGGTGAAGGTGCTATAACTAAATGAGTTGATGAAGATGAAGAAGAAGATGAAAGTGATTTTGAAGTTACTGTTGATGGTTGAGATGAACTAATTGACGGTGCTTTTATTGAATTTGGTGACTTTACTACTTTATCATCAAACTTAATACCTTTGCTCTTAACTTCACTATTAGTTGATTGGTTATTATTAGACTTAGAATTGGACGCATTTGAATTTCCAGCTATTCGATGAGAAGGTAAATAAGTAAGGAAAACGGAAAATTATTAAGTATTTTATTTGAAATTAAATTAGTTTTAAAGATATGTTTCATGTTAATTTACCTGATACTGTATTTGTTATAACGGAAGATGGAACATTTTTAGGTGCGTTCACAGAGGTTTGTGAATTATTGGGTGAAATTGATGTCCCAACTGAATGTGAAGTCTTACAATTTTCATTGACATCTCGTGTTATTTTGTTCACGACATTATTGGAAGCTGCTTTATAAATAGTATTGATTTGAGTGGAAGATGCTTTTGGGCTTGTCGGTGCTATTTGAGTTGAAATATAAAGAGAAAGAGCAGGAAAGATGAAAGATGAAAGATGTAAGAGAAAAGAGTAGGAAGATAAGGTGAGAATAAGAGGAAAAGAAAGAAGAAAAAGGAAACAAAAAGAAAGAAAAGAAGAACGATAAGTTCATTTCTTGTCATTCATTTTAAACTAAAAATATTGTTTTCATGTTTACCTGATGGTAATTTTGATGAATCGTTCTGGTTAGATGAAGTTACTGACAATTGTGAATTTTTTATCATTGACTTGAGATACTTTCATCTGTTTACGAGGTGCTTCTGATTTATCGGATTTGCAATCAGATTCTTTACGCTTCTCACTTTCATTGTTCATTTGACTCAAATGTTTTGAGATGAATTTTGTTTTAGCGCTATGCGAAGTTGTTGTTATCATTGTTGTTGCAGTTATCGAAGATACAGTACTAGTTGATGTAACTTTAGGTGTAGACTGAGAACAAATGATCGGAGTTAATCCAATGTTATCATAACCATTCATGAATCTTTTATCCGTTTCCCTGTTCAACAGACTTCACAAACATATTTAATTATTTAATGTAACTGTAGTTACTTGAGTTGAACAAGGCAACACTGAAGTTATCGATGGCTTTAAATTGATTTGATTCACCATTGGAGTCAATTTAGTGTTGATCACTTTGGGTTTAATGACACGTTTAGTGTCTGATATTTTAATGGAACTAGAAACTGAATGTATCGCTTGTTTTCCCCTTTCATTCATCAATTGACTTCTTTCGAGTTGGAGCAACAGTTGATGTTGAGGACGCAACTGAATTCATGGGTGAAGTGACACATGTAATGACAGATGAAGATTGCACTGCAACTGATTTCAAAGTTGTTTTATCACTTTTAACATCATTTTTGACGTTTCCATTATTAGGTGTATTTGTTGAAGCCGTAGAGGTAGTTGTTGTTTTCATGTGAAATTGAGAGAAGATGATATCCAGGGAAGGGAAGAAAGGAACAAAAGAATGGAAAGAAAAGAAAACAAGTTTTGTTAAGTTGAATCTGAATTGTAGTGATAGTGGTTGGAACATGTTTTTAATTTATTTGTTCATGATCCTCAATGTTAAATTTTGTATAATTTCCCTATGTATTCTTAGTTGAAATTAGTGAAAACAATAATTGGATTAGTAGCTTAAGCTAAAATTTTACAATTGTTTGCTCTACTGTTCAAATGAGTCTACTCCAGGTAGATAGTGAAATAGACACAAGCAACGATTCAAATTTCACGACTCTGGGAAAGTTGAACAAAGCTGAAATTATAGACGATCGAGTGAAAGTCACTCTAATTTGCTTCACAGAAATATTAATTAAACTTATTAATAAGGTACAGTAATGTTTTGAACTAATTTTTTTAAAGTTAATTGCGACAGTTAGACTAAACTTACAGGCATCATTTAATCAGCAAAATAAAGCTGCACTTTTCAACAACGCGTTGTGAAAAAAATCAATTAATTTTTTATCAAAAATTGTAAAGTTATAGCCTTAAATAGAAAAATGCTTGAATGAAAAATGAATGATTCTGATTGAGTTTTCATTCTGATCTCTTTGCTTCAACGCTAAAAGAATGAGAAATTATGGCCTTTCACTTGTTGTTCATGATCGTCAATGTTAAATTTTTTTTGAAGCCTAATAACCTGTGGGGAAAAAGTTTGAGACTTTTTGATTTTTTTCTTATATCTCGTAAGATATAAGAGATTCTCTGGTTTCTGTCTATGAGAGTTTAACATGCATAAAAGAGAATTTCTCGAACATTTTTTTTCTCTACTACTATGAGTTCACGGAGCTCCTATAAGTATTTCAAAGAATCT